ATCGCCTCTTACCGTTTGGTGTTTGAGAAAAATATATTTTTGGCTAAAATCCCGTTTTGGATTCTGTTAAGTACTGGGCAACAGTGTTCATCGCATTCGCGGGAGCACTGTCGCATTCGCGAAGGGTACTGGCTGTCAAGCCTTCGCGTTCGCGAGACCCAGCTCGCGTTCGCGATGGTTACTCCTCCTGGCCTTCGCATTCGCGAGGCATTGCTTGCGTTCGTGATGAAGGAACGGCTGACTCCCCCTCCCCAATGCCTAACACTACGCGTTTGCGATGGGCTTGTCGCGTTCGCGAAGGATAACACTCCCATCGCTTCGCGTTCACGACCAAGCCTTCGCATTCGCGAAGAAGAAATCCTTGCCTCATCAGTTTACTCTTCGCGTTCGCGGGAGGATCTTCGCGAACGCGAAGAAGGACATGCCAGAACCCAGACTCTGCAGAAAAAACCAGATTTTCAAAGTCCAAAATATCTCGTGGCCTATCCGAAATTCACCCGAGCCCTCGGGGCTCCAAACCAAACATGCACATAAGTCTAAAAATATCATACGAACTTGTTCGAGCGATCAAATCGCCAAAATAACACCTAGAACTACGAATTTAGCACCAAATCAAATGAAATTCTCAAGAACACTTTAAAATTTCTATTTTCTCAACTAGACATCCGAATCACGTCAAATCAACTCCGTTTCTCACCAAATTTCACAGACAGGTCTTAAATATTATAACGAACCTGTACCGGGTTCCGAAACCAAAATACGGATCCGATACTAACAATGCCAAATATCAATCAATTCTTAAAAACAAATAATTTCCAAATTTTTAATTTTTATCAAAAATTCATAACTCAAGCTAGGGACCTACGAATTCGATTCCGAGCATACGCGCAGGTCCCATTATTCGATACGGACCTACCGGGACCGTCAAAGCATGGATCCGGGCCCGTTTACCAAAAATATTGATCGAAGTCAACTAAATTCAATTTTTAAGGCGAAAATTCTTATTTTTATTAGTTTTCAACATCAAAGCTTTCCGGAAACATGCCCGGACTGCGCACACAAATCTAGGATGGTAAAAATGAGATTTTTAAGGCTTAAGAGCACAAATTCGAGTTCTAAAACATAAGATGACATTTTGGGTCATCACATTCTCCACCTCTAAAACAACCGTTTATCCTCGAACGGACATTGAAAAGTACCTGGGCTGGTGAAAAGGTGGGGATATCTACTCTGCATATCGGACTCGGACTCCCAAGTAGCTGCCTCAATAGGCCAACCTTTCCACTGCACTTGAACTGAAGGGTAACTCTTTGATCTCAACTGGCGAACTTGTCGGTCTAGAATTGCCACCGGCTCTTCCTCATAAGTCAAATCCTTGTCCAACTGGACAGAGGTGAAATCTAACATGTGGGACGGGTCACCATGATATTTCCGGAGCTTAGACATATGGAATACCGGATGAACTGAGGATAACCCTGGAGGCAATGCAAGTCTATAAGCTACCTCCCCCACTCTCTCGAGGATCACAAATGGCCCGATATACCTAGGGCTCAACTTGCCCTTCTTCCCAAATCTCATAACACCCTTCATGGGCGATACCCAAAGCAATATACTTTCTCCAAGCACGAATGCAATATCACGAACTTTGCGGTCGGCATAACTCTTTAGCCTAGACTGAGCTGTGCGAAGTCGATCCTGAATAATCTTGACCTTATTCAAGGCATCTTGCACCAAATCGGTACCCAATAACCGAGCCTCTCCCGGTTCAAACCAGCCAACTGGCGAACGGCATCGCCTTCCGTATAATGCCTCATATGGAGCCATCTGAATGCTTGACTAGTAGCTGTTATTATAGGCAAACTGATCCCAAGATCTGAATAGTACGCTCGGACTGCCCGTCCGTCTGAGGATGGAATGTTGTGCTCAACTCAACCCGCGTACCCAACTCACGCTGTACTGCCCTCTAAAAGTGCGAGGTAAACTGCGTACCTCGATCTAAAATAATAGACACGGGCACCCCGTGAAGGCGGACAATCTCACGAATGTAAATTTCAGCTAACCTTTCTGAAGAATAGGTAGTTGCCACTTGAATGAAATGTGCTGACTTGGTCAACCTATCCACAATGACCCAAAACTGCATCAAATTTTCTCTGAGTCCGTGGGAGTCCAACAATAAAATCCATAGTGATACGCTCCCATTTCCATTCAGGAATTTCTAGCTTCTGAAGCAACCTACCAGGTCTCTGATGCTCGTACTTAACTTGCTGACAATTCAGACACCGAACTACATATGCAACTATATCCTTTTTCATTCTCCTCCACCAATAATGTTGCCGCAAATCATGATACATTTTGGCGATACCTGGATGAATAGAATACCTAGAACTGTGTGCTTCTTTAAGAATTAATTCATGAAGCTCATCCACATTAGGCACACAAATACGACCCTGCATTCGCAGAACTCCATCTCCCCCCCACAGCAACCTGTTTGGCTTCACCATGCCGCACCGTGACCTTAAGGACAAGTAAACGAGGATCATCATACTACCTCTCTCTGATGCGCTCATATAAAGAAGACCGAGCGACTGTGTAAGCTAGAACTCGACTAGGTTCTGAAACATCTAACCTCATGAATTAGTTAGCCAAAGTCTGAACATGTGCAGCTAATGGCCTCTCACCAACCGGAATATACGCAAGACTGCCCATACTCACAGCCTTTCTACTCAAAGCATCGGCCACCACATTTGCCTTTCCGGGGTGATACAAAATGGTGATATCATAGTCTTTCAACAACTCCAACCATCTTCTCTGCCTCAAATTAAGATCTTTTTGTTTGAACAGATACTGAAGGCTACGATGATCAGTAAATACCTCACACGAGACACCGTAGAGGTAATGCCTCCAAATCTTCAGCACATGAACAATGGCTGCCAGTTCTAAGTCATGAACAGGATAATTCTTCTTGTGAACTTTCAATTGCCGCGACGCATATGCAATTACCTTGCCATCTTGCATTAATACTGCACCAAGCCCAATGTGAGAGGCGTCACAATATACCGTATACGATCCTGAACCTGTGGGTAATACCAACACTAGCGTTGTAGTCAAAGCGGTCTTGAGCTTCTGAAAGCTCAACTCACACTCGTCTGACCATCTAAATGGGGCACCCTTCTGGGTCAATCTGGTCTTAATAGTTGTTCATAATCAAATACAGAATCGTCGATTAACTTCATGTTAACAAAAATCTCATTTCAAACCTTCACAATACTAATAACGAGATGCGAGACATGAAGGCCTCATAATTATTTACCCGAATTAACGAATCACATTTAACGCCACCTGGGCGGGCACCTACCTCGTAGGTTACAACTCAATATTACAACACGAATTTGGCAAGTATGCATAGAGAATTTCATACAAATATTTTTAAATAAGCCTAGCAGGCATGACTCCCTATTAGTACTATCGTACAAATTTATTTTTCACAAGGGAAAATTTAAACACAAGAATTTTTATCATAAGGATATCGTCCTTATATAACTTCCACCGTAGCTCATATCCCGGTTTAAACATATCAATTTATTTTAAAAATACGAGGACCTCGGCCTCAGCTCTGAATCACAAGTAATATGCACATCTCGCCAATCGAAACTTTCTATTTTATCCTTTTAAATAACTTCCGTTAAACAAAATCACAACACATAATGAACCCCACACCGGTAGGGCATATAATTCACAATTTATAAATAATTATCCGGAAATACATCAAAACATACCGAAATAAGTACCAGAAAGGCACCTTTAGCCTCACAGATCTTATTAGAGTCCATCATGGAATGATAGGTGTAGTTATCTTATTAGAGCCTCACAGAGCTCGAAGGTTATTGAGTTCATCAATCCTGAAGCTTTGTCCTTTCAACTGATTTACATCTACTTTCTTGGAACCATTCTTGATCCGACTCAACTATCAGTAGTATAAAAAAAATTAGTAAGATTTGCATCTCTATACTCGGAAATAGAGTAACAGCTCATGAATTCAACAACTCACCAGAAGTTAAGGACCAAGTGCCCTTAACTTATGAGCTTGTTACTGTAAGTTCAGGACTAGCTGTCCTTAATTTATGAGCTTGTAAGTCTAAGTTAATGACTACCTATCCTTACTTTTTGAGCTTGTAACTCTAAGTTCAGGACTACATGTCCTTAACTTTTGAACTTGTAACTCTAAGTTCAGGACTACATATCCTTATTTTTTGAATGAGACATTTGAACTTTTGACAAAGGGTCAATTTTTACCCAAAAAGAACCTTAGGAATGTAATGCATATTATTAATCTTGTTACATTCCAAATATTACGGGACTTGATCTTGAACGTGTGTGTGTGTTCCAGAAAATATAAATAGCATTATTGCAGAGATTGGTGTCGCTATCTAATAGCTACAACTCCAATTCACCTTGTAATAAAGTTCTGGAGAGAGAAGTGAGAGTTCTGAACTTTTGATAAAGGGTTTTGATAAACCGAGAGAGGAGCGAGGGTTTGGGAAGAAAAGAAATTGAAGAAAAGGTAAAAATATCTTTTCATATTAATTTTAATTGAGTAGTGGCTATTTTTGCTCAACATTGGAATTGATGGATAAAAAATAAATACTACCTTAAATAGTGGCTACCACACGCCATTTTTACAACAAATGAAAATAATAAAAGAAGGAAAGAAAAGAGAATATTAAATAAAATCTTATATTGTTATAAAAATAAAGACTACAAAGTAAATGAAGTAGAGAAATGTATAAAATAAAGACTACAAAGTAAATGAAGTAGAGAAATGTATAAAATAAAGACTACAAAGTGTATGAATTGTTTTGACTCCCTATTTATAGAAGAAATGAAGCTGATTCAATGCTCATGCCTTTGACATATTACTTGTGTAAGAGTTGGCCGAGAATAGGCGCAGACGCCAATGATCTTAGAAATTTTAGTTGCCTGCCTTTCACTAACTTCTTCATCTACGTTACGTTAATGATCATCTTCTCGAGAATAGGCACAGAAGTCAGTACTAACCTTACAAACAACAATTCCACTCTTGAACCATGGAATCTATGTATTCCCAGAGCTCGAAGGTTTTTGAGTTCATCAATCCTGAAGCCTTGTCCTTTCAACTGATTTACATCTATTTTTCTGGAACCATTCTTGATCCGACTCAACTATCAGTAGTATAAAGAAAAATTAGTAAGATTTGCATCTCTATACTCGGAAATAGAGTAACAACTCATGAATTCAACAACTCACCAAAAGGTTAAGTAACTTCAAATTGGGAGAACTTCTAAGGATGCATAGAAGGGAACAAATTTGATCTTCATCATTAAAATCGAAACCATAAAATTCGAGATTGGCTACATCACCAGAAGCTAAAAACTAGACGACAAAAAAACCAAAATAAGAATGTTAATAGTTACAACTATGTATGGGGTCATTCTAAGCTATGCAAAGATATCAATTTCCATCTTACCTTGAGGGAGCATCCGTCCAAGATAAGTGCTCTAACTTCATACAAGCTGCTGAGAAGTTTTACTAAGTTCATTGCTTCATTCTGTCTGTTTTGTGAAACTTCTTCTTGTGGTATAACTGCAAAAAGTTTTACCTTCCGACAGTCCTTGAAAGTAATCCATTTAATTGTATTCAAGTGATGAACACCACTACACTGTACAAACATCAGATCCAGAAGGTTTGGAATAGAGAGGAAAGAAGTTGCAACGTCTAATTCAAAGGCGACTCCATCTAATTTAAGGCTTTTGAGCTTGTGGAAACCTCCAAAACTGCAAGGCGGTCTGAAAATGCAGCTTGACAGACTCAATTGTTCAAGTTCCATATCGTACACATAGGAAGGCAACTTATAAGGAGCATTCTGGTTTCCTGGATTCTGGAGGGTGAGCTCCACAAGACCATTTCTTGACAAATGTAGCATCTATAGATCAATAATTGAGTGCTCAGAAAGATTTATTATTGAAAGATCAAGGAGAAATGTCTTAATGGGTCCACAGTGATGCAATAGTACTCTATTAATGATGTCTGTTGTGCTTGATTGCTTTCCCTTTATGCAGAAGTCCGCAGAAATTGTGAGCTTTGGATTTGAAGCCCAAATATGTCTCCACTTACTGGACAAGACACTATTTCTTGCGACATCCTCAATAGTCATGTGCTCCTGAATTTGTTTTATGACATTAATAGGAAGATCTGTAATCCCATCGAGTTTGTCCCTTCCATCTTCAAGTCTTTTATAGCTCTTTGTCATCATGATTGTAAGTTCTGACCATTTGAACCAACAAAAATAAGTGAAGGTTGCATAGAAAATGCTTCACACATGCTGCATATGTAAATCCAACTTTATTTTCTAGTCAAGAAAGTAACGTCATAGTTTTAAAAAGTTTGTATAAGATCAATCCAGACTCACGCTTATCTTGATAATCAGATTCCAGAATCAATATGAGAGCAAAGCTCGTCAGGCAGGTTGTTTGAGATTTCAAAACACTTTTATACAAGGTAGATAAATATTGTATAATAATGTATAAGAATTTATTTGCAAAGGAATGTTGGCTATGTGGATGTAAACTAAAAATATGGCGATGTGAGTGCAATGTGTTGTGTTGGGATGTATACTTTTGAAAAGTTCTTATTAATTAGCTGCTAAAATTCAAATGATGAGTACGAAGAAATAGAATTCCTCCATAAGAGGCTGCCTAGTTGCATGTGAGAGTCAATAACAAGACTTTTTATGTGAAGTCAGACCTTCCTATACCAGGGTAAGTTACCCTATATAGCATGTCATCATAAAAGTAAAGTTTTTTTTGGAACCGATTTTTTCTGTTATATTTTAGCTCTCTTTAACAGTTTTTTACCTATAACAATAGGAACCATCTTTATAAGAGTATGCTCTTTTTAAAACTACCGGTCTGTAAAAACTATTTATTTGGGTAATAAAACCGCCATCTTCATAGAAATAAAATCTCTAAAATTTCCAATCATAAATCTAGAGATTTGACCAAATATTTTAAAATTTTAAAGCATCACTTATGATAAAGAATATTACATGAATACATATTTCTATTATTAAAGATTTCATACCCTTGAAAGAGATGTGCACATATATTTCAATTTAAAATTTTATTGAGATTTTAAGTTTAAATAATTTTCTTATCTTTTATAACGTCAAATATTTTTTAATTATTTCGGAAATCTTTAGTCTATTACGGCTAAATAATATTTAAACATCAAATATTATTATAAGTGTATAACAGACAATCGCTACAAAAGCCAAAAAGAAAAAAATTGAAACAAACGAAATTGTTATTGAGAAGTAAGATGGTATATATGGATATTTCTTAACTTGTAATCCTAATCAGAGAGATCAACTAATCCATGCAAGAAATAAATTTTGGAAGGAGTAAACTGTTGGTTTAATTAAATTATATATGACTCAGAGTTGAGAGAAGAAAAAATAACAACTATAACATCCTTATCGAAAAAGAAAGGAACTAACCTCACAACGGCGAGTGAGAGGGGTTTCCGGAGGAGCGAATGCTGAATAGGACTTAGGCAGAAAGAGAGAGGCGAGCATAAAAATCTCCATAATAAATATTACTACTCTATAATTAGTAGCCTCATAAAAATGATAATTAATATATTAAATTGGGAAAATACATAGATAGACACTCAAAGTTGGCATCAATTGTCAGTCAGACACTTCAGCTTAATGTAACGATCCGACCGATTATTTTGAGTATTACAGCCCCGTTCCTCCATCTACTATTTATTTTGTGTTCAATTATTATTATATGACTTATCGGAAAAGTTTCAGAATGAATTGGAATATTTAGTTTCAAGATTTAAAACTTAAGTTGAAATAATTGACCGGATGATGAATTATGTGTAAACACCCCCTTAATGGAATTTTCATGGTTCTAATAGCTGTGTATGGTGATCTCGGACTTAGGAGTGCGTCCGAATATTTATTTTGAAGTCCGTAGTTAAATTTGGCTTGAAATGGCGAAAATAAGAAATTGAAAAATTGAAAGTTTGACCGGAAGTTGACTTTTTGATATCGGGGTTGGAATCCGATTCTGGAAATTTGAATAAGTCTATTATGTCATTTATGACTTGTGTGCAAAATTTGGAGTGAATCGGACTTGATGTGATAGGTTTCAACATCGAATGTAGAAGTTGGAGTTCGATAGTTTCATTAAACTTCAATTGGAGTGTGATTCGTGTTTTTATTATTGTTTGATATGATTTGAGGCATCGACTAAGTTTGTATGATATTTTAGGACTTGTTGGTATTGGTTGAGGTCCCGAGGGCCTCTGGTGGATATCGGATGGTTAACGGAATTTAATTTGGATATTTCTAGAATATTTTGACGTCATTTCTTCAAGAATAAGTGGTATCACATTAAGCAAATGAGCTCCAAATTCAGTTTTGATTGAAGCTGTCACGGCCCAAACCAATGGGCCACGACGGGCACCCAGAACCTTACTCAACCAAGTACTAACGTAACGTATATTTCGTATGACGACCCAACATGATATAGAATTTTATGCACGTGACTACGGGCCTATAAGGGCGACATGATCATTTGTACATTCAAAACATAGGCCGACAAGGCCATACAATCTTTCATATACATGACATATGTCTACAAGCCTCTAAGAGTACATAAACGTCATAAGGCCGGGACAGGGCCCCGACATACCAATCAATACATGTCCAATGCATACTGACCAAATAGGCAACTCCGGAGCAAATGGAGCGCACCAACATCTCCCACTGAGCTGATCGCCTAGTTGGAGGACTCTCGACCTGTCTATCGAGACCTGTGGGCATGAAACACAGTGTGCCCAGGTAAAAGGGATGTCAGTACAAATAATGTACCGAGTATGTAAGGAATGAAAATCAGTAAATAATAGACATGANGACTTGGAGGACTCTCGACCTATCTATCGGGACTTGCAGGCATAAAACGCAACGTCCCCAGACAAAAGGGACATCAGTACAAATAATGTACCAAGTATGTAAGGAATGAGAATTAGTAAATAATAGATATGAGAAACATGGAGTAAAAGACTTAACATGTATATCTGAATAGATCTGTGAATCATTTAATATTATAATGTCATGCATATGCGTATAAATATCATACCATGTATGAGTATATGCATTCATAACATCATCAAGCCTCTGAGGGCATCCCATCATATCATCTCGACCACTGTGGGCAAATCATCAATGTATACCAGTTGATCAGGTGGTGGTGCGTATATAACGCCGTAACCTTTTCCCATATCCCATATACATATAATATACGCGTATATAACGCCATCTGGTCATGGGTCAATGTACATGTATAAATGCATGAAATCCATAAGAAATACATTAATAAGATCAATGAACCTTTCAGATAAACTTTATCAAATACGTATTTTTCTAATACCCATGTACAGAAGATATAATAATAATTTGCATGGGGAATCAAGAACGTAGGCATCTCTAATACTTCTATGAATAGAGTCATTTATAAAAATTGTGCATTTACTCATTTTGTTTGTATCGTATTGATCATCCCAAAAAAAAGAAGGGATAGCCTTAACATACCTGGACTGATTCTCTTGACAATTCCTCTAACACATGTCTATTGCGATGAACACGTAACGACAGATCGAATTAGGGAAATATTCATATGATATTCTCGAGAAAGATTTTACCGTACTCCCATAAAATCGCAAAAAGCTCGTTGCTATAACATTACGTAGTATAATTTCGTATGAAGATTTCTTGGTTGGAGATCCGTTACATTTGTAGATGTAGAACACCTCCATTTTGGTGAATTTGATCATAATTTTGGATGGTTTTTCTTCTGAAGCAAATCACGTTTTACATTCCATATATTTGTGAATATGAGACTTTTATGGCTTAGCCAAGATTCCTTCTAATGGTTCCATAACTTTTTCCTATTCTGTAAGTTATAATTGTTATCAAAAAGTATTTAAAGAATGACAAAATTTTGAGAATGTGAAATCAAAGTGATTGGGAAAGCATAAGAACAATGGTCTTGGTTTGTAAGGAAATCTTTACGTCTCTCATGTAAAGATTTGTGAATCTTGGTTCTTAATGCTAATTACAATAAGCTTTTCTTTGTTTGCAGCTTCGCTTATCAAATAAAGAACTAAACCAAGGTTGTTATCCAATGGCTCTTACGTGTAAACAAGGCAATTTATGTCTCATGACTCATCATGCCCATTTGTGCCACTTTGGCTTGGCTTAATGCCATGTGGCAGCCCCTAAAAGGATCATTATCCACTTAATCCTTACTTAATACCACAATTACCCATATAATTAATTAATTATCCACATAATTAAGAATTATCTTATTTTTCTTAAAATATTACTCACTTTTAATACACTTTATACACCTTACTATCATGGCCATGTGGTACCTTGTATGGTACTAGTCCATAAATACCGGGTATTTTAGCTCGGGCCGTATTTTATCCCAAAATATCAAACTTCGACGAAATTCATTTTCTTCGATTTGCCTTCCCTCTCACCTTCACAGATTTACTCGTCACTTGTTTGAAATAGTATAATGCTTATAATCTCAAAATAATCCCATTCCCGAACTTACACCGATTAACTTACAACGAAACTTTAACATACGAAAATGCGGGATGTAATGTCTCATTTCCGATCTTCCATCAATTTACTTATGGCGTACTTTCATGTACGAAAATATGGGGTGTAACATCATTCCTCTCTTTGGAACATTTGTCCTCGATTGTTGACTGATGCACTTATCATTCTCATAACCCATAGCTCTTGCGAATACTTTAATACTCTCCTTGCTATTTAGGCAACCGCTCTGTGAATAAATCCAAATGCCATGGCATTCCTCCCTTTAGGCCTCTTTCTCACACCATGACTCGTGGTCGGAATCATTCCAATCTTGTAACTATTGCTATCTTTTATCATGCAGCCTATACGACTCTGATTTTGTAAGTGCGCCTATGTGACTCTTCTCTCCTTTTTCCTCCAGTTTTTTAGCCAATCCCTAGGCCTCATTTTGTGAACATTTACAGAGCTTAATAAGATGTCCCTCTGGGCATCTATAAGTACAATGAAATTCTTCGCTCGATACTTTATTGAACTTATGAATATTGCTATATCTTATTTCATAGCATCCCAATGTGGCTCACCTCACATGGGTATTTTAATTCCGTACAATTCATGAAATCCTCTTTAAGTCATTA